CCTACGTCGTCACCAAACCACCGCCGGTTTAGTAAAGCCACCGAACTGTTTAGAACTTCAACACCGGCATAGCACAAGTTGCCAAACAGCGAATGCAATGCAACGCCAGTTAATTGCCGAGTTGCAATTACAACAATTATATAGCGTTTTTTTGTGTTGTACGCGAGCTTTGTGCAATGGCCCACTAACGCTGTCTGCCTAAGTGGTAGTCAACCTTCAAGCGCTTGTATGCGCGAGTTCAACAACCGTGACAGTTTTCTTGAAATGGTTTTCTTGTTGCAGCTTTTGTACTTTGGCACTTTGGTAGACACTGATCCGCTGGGTGAGACCGATTTGCTGGTAAATAAATACTTATTTTTGGTGCTTGTTGTTCTAGTTGGTGCAGTGCTTTAACAGTCATTTAATATAAAATCAAAAAGTTGCTTGCACGATTTTACACCTTACTTATGCATGTATGTGAGTATTTGGTGAGCTAAAAATTGCTGAACTTTCGCTTTTTGCTGCCGTGATTTAAGCCATTCACTTAATGCGATACGTGAGCTGAAAATTTAAGTCGTTAGTGCTTTGAATTTACTTTGGAATCAAGTCCAAACATTTTTAAGAAAAGCTGTTTTAGTTGGGCAGGAAGTTCTTGGGAAATTGAAGTATAAAGAGGGCTAAATGGTGATTTTAACGAAAGGCAGACTTTGATATCAGTATCGGTTTTTCTCTTTTAGAAATTAAAAGTGTAAAACACGATAAGGCTACATTATTTTAGATTATTTCGTCTTGCCTAATAGTTATGCCCACTTACTTTGGCATTTGGAAGTTGGCATCGTTCTTGCATCAGCTTCTGCAAAAGTCATATCAGAGATATCAAACAGGTCTCGTATATACCATGAGACCTGTGGTTGAGAGATCGAAATAGCTTGCTTGGCTAGCAGCAAAAACGGTAGCGCCATCATACAACTTAAGAAGGCAACTATCAGCACGGTCTGATAAAACCTAGCCTGCTTAGGCTGGGTAAAACCAAACGAGGTAACTTAGGCTCTGAGTTTGTACCTTTTTCCTCATCTCATTTACCAACAACATCCAATCGCCATTCATTTCCGTCAGGCAGAGGAACAAGCGTGGGTTTATTAGTTTATTTATTGATGGAACCTGATGGTTAATAAAGGTGGACTTTCCCAGTTCTTTTAACGCATTCGGTTATAAAGGGAACCGCTGGAGTCTTCTGGAAAGGAGTCGTTTAGTTTCTTTTGCTTTCGAGGGTTTGACTGGGCGAGAAGTACACGGAAAATATATTCCCTTCTTCTGTCTGATGGAATAAGGTAAACGACTCCACTTTTTCTACCCCCCAGTACCGTAAGTTGTTCCAATCTTCCTATTTTATACAGACTTTATAGTTATTCTTCTTCATATGTCCACTCCATTTTTGAATGTCCAATTCAACAGCACATTTAACCTTCCAAAATCTCTTCAAATTAAACCCGCATTCTTATTTTTCCTCCTCGATTAATTTAAAAGATATGTCTTCTATCCACATCTAATTCCATTTATTCCTAATTTCTATAAATTGTTAAGTGTCTTCGCCAATTGCTAGTTGCTTTTGGTTTCCACTAATTCAACCAGCTGGCAGCCAGAAAATTGTGGCCGAAAAGCATTGTTGTATGCGGTTGCAACACATTTCAAGCGAGACAGCAAATTTAAACAGAGCAAAACGAACAAAAAAGGCATTGAAGAAAAGCAAAGCAAATGGTATTTATTATTATTTGTTTTTGGAAGCCATTTAAGATTTAAAAAAAAAATAGCACAAACTCTAGTAAAAAAAAGTTAGATGGTTTGGAAATGGGTAAGAAGTAAAAAACAACGAAAGATAAGTTGGGAATGCTTAGAAAGTAAAATATAACGAAACGGACAATACTTACATTAAGGCGAAGCGTTGGAATGACTGGGCTAAGACATGATTGTATACGTGAGATTTTAGGCGTTGCCGTGGCTAGAACTGGGAGGCATGGATAATTAAAAGATATTTCATCAGTCAGACGACGAAAGGTCGTATTAAACATAAAAAGATAAGAACGTGGAAGTTGAGATTGAAGCGATCCAGAACTGGAAATCGAAACCTCAACTGGATCCTGGAAAATTACTTTATTAATGCAATATTACTAGTAAACTATAGTATATTTAGTAAACTATATGAATGAAATGGATGGTGTAAGCAATCAGTGAAATGATGAAATAGCAACAGAATTTGGAAAGAATGTATCGAAAGGAGCCAAATATGAAGATTGGGTTAGTTGGGCGTACGAATGACTCATATTTCCACTAGTAGGCAGATTTGGCCATTGTGAATGCCCTCTGTGAGTGCCAGGATGAGGCACATCCTTCTAACCGAGGTTAATCCATACTGTCAGGATAAAGTCTGTCAAATCATTTACTATCCTGGATGAAGCCGTGAATATTCGATATTTTCACCTCCGGCACATCTCCCCCTAGCTATTGAAAAAGCTTGATCCCAAATGCTTGAGACGCCTTGTCTGGAGAGCTGGGCATTAACATAAGAAGTGGTGAATCGATATTTCTTCATCCTCAACCCTATATGCTATAGCATAGTGCCCCGTATTGCACATTTACTGAGGTAAGAGAGTCAATAAATTATCTAAATTTGGCGAAATCAAAAGGTTGGATGGTTGCATTGGATAGTTAGAGTCAAAATTTGTAAGTTGGGTTATATTAAGGTGGTTACCCCATGCAAGGGAGATATTTATAATAGTCTCCCTATGAGCGGTTCTATGTCACAAAATTGAATTTTGGAAGGGCGCTGAAGAACCATACCATCAACAGACTCCCAAGCATTAATAACTTTGGTTAACGTACTGCCTCAACTCTTATTATATCAACAAGGATGGGTCTCAAAAATTTCATACTATAGGCTGGTCTTTTCTACTGGAGGCACGTGGAATTCACTGCATTTAAATGTCACATGAAGGAGGAACGAGAGCTAATAAATATTTGCCATTAAGCCCGTCAAAGTACCGAGAAAATTTCAGTTAAGAAAACTACGGTCAGCCCATCTTGTGGAAAGCGAATAGACTAGAGAGTACCATCAACAAAAGCCACAAACTATCGATGAATTGAAAATATAGAAGAATAAGCCAAAAAGTGTACCAATGCAAGAAGTGGCAGCGACAGGAAGAAGGCGGCATGGCGGGTCGTCCGGTTGTCCGAATTGCCAAATAATATTAGATCGGCCAAACAACAACGGGCATCAGCCAACGGCCACCACCACCACACCCACCAATCGCCGCCACCAAACAAGATCCAAACAACCCATCGACCGACTTGGCGTGTTCCGCCAGCTTACAAGTTGGTAACTACAACAATAACTACAACAGCCATAACAACAACGAGATTTGCAAGCATTAGTTTAGCAGTCAGCCAGCAGTTGGTCGATCGTTGCACGATCGTCACTGCAGTTTTCAGTTGCGAGTTTTACTTTCATTCGAGCGGTTGGTTTTTAAAATTGGCACTTGCTATGGTGGCTTGCTACATACATACAAACATAAGCTTGAAATACAATAAATGAAAATAAAAGTGGAAAAACGAAAGAAAAAAAATACCAAAACGGGAATGTTGCAATGAAAATAATTGTGCAACGTTATGTAAATTTTTCAATGATGAAATTTGTGAAGAAAAATGTGAAAAAGTAACGCCCTGAAGAATTTTTAATCTACATATATACCATTCTAGGAAAAAAATTATTGGTTCAGTAAATTTTTTTCTTTGTGAATTGTGAAAAGAAAATTTTATATGAAAAATTTTATTAAGAAATATACGTAAGAATGTATGTATATTTTTCAAGTGTTTATGAAAAAAAATATTAACCAAGAAAACAAAACAAAAAAATTTAAAATTTTGTGGACATTAAATTTTGCAAAATATTGGGTCAAAATAAATAATGTGCATACATTTTATGAAAAAATGTATATGTATTTGTGAATTAAATAATTTAAAAAAATACAGTTATAAAACATATGAACATATGTACATACCTTAAAATATTGCAAGAGCTCAAAAAATTATGGAAAATCGTAGAAAGGTGCCTGAAAGAAAAATAAAAACTTATGAAAACTTGTTAAATCAAATTTAATAAATATAACAAAATGTTAGCGCAAAAATTTTAAAAGTGAACAAAATTTTCAACAAAACTAAATGAATCAGAAATAGCAAAAACGCGGAAAAATTATAAAATAAATACATTTTCTTTTGGAAATTTAACAAATTATCCAACGAATTAAATTAAAAATTAAGAAAACAATTTAGTGCCATAAAGTGTCGAAAAATAAAAACTTGACTTACCAAAAAAGACAAAAAAAACTAAAAAGAAGTAGCTTTGCCAGTTTGGCAAAAAGTATAGAGCATATTTTTTTTAATTTAGCTGGTATGAAATTTTTTTTAACCAAAAAATATATTTTGTTAAAACTTGTTTGCCAAAAAGCTAACTAATACTTCAAAAATATTTTTTTTTTTCCTACTTGGTGAAAAATTTTTAAAACAAAAAATGCTCTGTATGTCTCATATAAAAATTTAAAATAATTTTTATTTTTTTTTAATTTCGCTGCATAGGGGAACAGTTTTTAAAGTGAAGTAAATTAATATATGTTTATTCATCCCAACTGAAAATCGTTTGCAAGCACTTAAAAATTAAAGGCCTAATTTGCCAAAATTTTAGTTTTTGATAAAATAGCATTAAAAAATTATTTCCGAAATATAATTACGAAATAAATTATCCAACAGCAGTTTGAAAATAAGTTTATCCTCAGAAATTTTTTTCCAAAAGCAACAAAAAATTGCTCCTACGTAGGTAAAATAAAAAAATAAAAAAATTTTCTCATAAAATGTTCACCTTACTTGTTCCATACTCGCAAGAGGAAAAAATATGACCCTTTGAATTTTCGCGCTAAAATATGTTTTACGAGTACTATAAAATTTTTTCTCTACTTAACCGAAAATTTGTCTTTAACTTTCCAATATTTTTTTTTTTTGACAAACAACTTTCTTCTTTAATTCTGAAACGAATGAAATTTTTGAAAGAAATATTTATTACGAAAAAATAATACAATTATTGCCATTCTTGCAAAGGCTGAAAAAATACTGAACAAATTGATAATACAAAAATTTGGAAAATGCATTTTTAAAGGAAAGAGTTTAAAAAGTTGTATTTAATTATAGTAAAAAATACATAAATAAAAAGAACACCAAACCTGACCTCTTGGTACCCCATATATCTTGGCAAAATGAATTTTTCTTCCCCTTTTTTCGGGTTTCCCTTTCTCAAAAACATAAAAAATATGTAAATTCATTTAGTTAAATTTTATTATTTTATTTCTGTATTTTCTGTGTGCAGAAAATTATATTTCCTTTACGTAAAAAAAAGTTGTGGCACCACGAACACTTGCCAAACAGGAGCCAATTGCATAACAACCAAATGTAGCGAGTGCCTACGAAATAAAAACAATTCAACAACAACCAAATTGGTTGCCTATAAACTTGTTTTCGTTTGATGCGTTTGGTTTAAATCTTCATTTTTAATTGATCAATTGATAGGATTGCGTTGATAAGTGGTTGCAGATTAATTTAAAAATTCTGATAAAAATGTTTACATAAAAAAACATTTTGTTTTGTATACATATAAACTACTTTTCACGCTCTTAATTCTTAAAAGTTACTAAAATGCTTTTATCGTTTGAGAAAATTTTTTAGAAAAAAAAACGTTTAAGAAACATTTTTTCTATAAAAAGTATATTCGAAAAAACGTTAAAATTTTCCTTTTTCCATAAAAAATATCTGAAAAAATTGCAAAATTACATTAGATTTTCACAAATATTAGATACTTATTTAGACTTTGAGAAAAAATTGGAAGTAGTTTTAGATATCGCTGTTTATTTATGATAGAAACAAATTTAAACAATTCGATGACGACACGATTTTTTGCTTGTTTTAATTTTTTTCATACAAAATTTTATACCAATTTGAAAAAAAAAATCGCGCTCCATAATTTAGCATTTTTCTCGCAACGCTATTCAATAGAAAATTAACAGTTCAAATAAATAATCCCGAAAATTGCATAATTTTGCAATAAAAAGAAGCATCAAAAAGAAAAGTTAGAAAAATCGCAATAAAAATGCTTATAAATAAAAATTCAAACACACACACACACACTTGCACAACGGAAAAGCTGCTTGCGCTGACAGCTTCAACGACGCTGTAAATTTTCTTTAGTTTATTATTATTTTTTTTCTACTGCCTCCTCTGTCTCTGCACCTTTTCTTCTCCACCACCGAAATTGTGTAATCCCACTTTTGGTCTGCTTTTGGTCAACACGCTTGTCATGGCCGGAGCATTAACAGCTAAAGGCAACAACAACAACAACAAC